TATTACAGGTCAAAGCTATGCAAGCAAGATAAGTGCTTGATTTTTTTGGCAGAATAATTTACTTACGTAGACATCGACGGTTTAAACAGATATTGCTTTTGCAATCTGAATTTCTCGCACACATCTTAATATCGTCACACTTCTTTCCAAAAACTGCACATCTACTACCGCAGTCGACATCAGTCTCATCTCGGTTTTTCACATGATTATTACAGATCAAAGCTATACGAAAAAGATGAATATTCGGTTATTTGACACAAGAAGGTACCTACGGATACATCGGCGATTTGAACAGATGTTGCTTTTGCAATCAAATGATTTACTACACCTCTTACCCAGGTTGCACTTCTTTCCTATTGTTGCACATTTACCGCCACAGTCGATATCAGTTTCATCTTGATTTTTGCGTTTGTTGTTGCATGTTGGAACTACAAATTATAAAGATTGGTTAGTTGCACGATATATGACAGTTATTGAAGAAATAATCTAGTTCATGTTGGCAGTCCTTGGTATCTCGATGTTATCAATATTTACATCGTGATCTTTATGATATCTCTTTTGTATTATGCTAATCTTCTACTGAATTATAATGTTGGAGTCTTGTAGAGTAAAATGATCTTGTTATGACATGGTTGTCTTATGATATTTTTTTTACAATTACATTTACTCTGAAATTTATTCTGAAGTAGTAGATTACTTTTTTATATGAGTTCATCGTTGATGGAATTCGGCTCTCTTCTTCAACGCCTGGACATATAAGTAGTCTTATGAATTTGTTTTCTTCCAGCAAACGGAGTTGTTGGTTTAGACTTCCTATGTTGGTTGGCTTGGAATTTTAGCGTGAAAACTAGTTTTAAACTTGCATTTTCATAGGTGTTGTAGTCTCATAAAGCTTTCTGTTTTACAATCTGTATCTAGACAGATAAAAACTTATGACTATAAAAAATAAGGAGTACTATAGAGATGCCGGTGTGTCCTTGCTGTAATAATTACAGCGCAGATATAACTATTCCAGCAGTTGATTCGACTGTTGCAAGAATGAGAAAAATAAAGCATGACTTATACTAGGATGCCGTTCCATCAGGTATGGTCTAGCTGGTTAGACCAATAACGATAACAGTAAGGAAAGAGTCCTGCTAACCTCTATTCCAATGTACAGACTAGCGAATTTCGTAGCACTTTATTAATGGATTTTTTGGTGTCAATGTCACTTGAAATCTCCTATACGATCCAGAAAAAACAAATACTGTTTTTACTGAATATTTTATACTTAAATGCAGTCTTAGTCGAGTCAAAATATGAATATGCCTCTTTTCGACTGAATGTGTAGATATTGTTAAGCTCATAATCGACAATTCATCATAGTAAGAATCATTAGTGAAAAAGTATCAATAAAATACTGTTCAATTCACGTAAAGCTATGTTTACTCAATGTATATTTTTATTTCTATTCAAATTCAAGGTAAAAAGATGCGTTTACGAAAGCAATTCGATGATGACGTATGATGGCTGATATTGATCGACATACTAACGAGTCGAGAATGACATTCCACAATATTTCATAAATGAATTCTCAATAATACACGGTGTACTATCAAGATATTGTCACTACGCTGAAACGTATGCAAATTCCTATTTTTTGATTGACCAAAATCGTAGATGCCGAGGCACTCAATATTCTTTAAATATTAGAATTAATACGTTGATCAAATCACCGATTTGAATCTTATTCTAGAACAAAGTTTTAGAAAACTCCATCACTTTTCCTACCAGTTTTAGTTCTCAACACTGAGTAGTGAAAATATTAGTACCAACACATGTACAAATCTATAGAACACGAAGGTAGTTACCTATTCGTTTATTTCTGTAATAATCTCGTCGTGACCGCACTGAAGAATGTAATGATGAATCAACGATTTTCTTGCATTTTGTCAATGTAAGTTGAGCGAAGCTTCCGTCATCGAATTCGAATTTCAGTGAAATACTTGAAGAATATGCAGCAATACGACCTTCGATAGCATCGACAAACTTGTCTTTGCAAGGTTTATTCGTGGCACAGCTTTCTGGATAGACTATATAAATGTGAATTTCTACAATTGAGCGATAAGATGCCAAATGATCACATATAGGTCTGAAACAGAGATAGACAGGCATTGAGAACAGATACACGATAAAAAAAAAGTCATGCAAAATGAGGACACACATTTCACGTGTTTCGCTGTGATGTTGAAAGCGATGATGACGATCATGGACATCTGTTTCACCATTATTGAATTCAATAGAACTTATATAGATGGAGCCTGATTCGATACCATAGACAACTTCTAACTAGAATTTCGTGCAATATAATTAGTTTAGACAGTGCGTAATAAATATTTGAAATATGATTACTTTTCGAGCAATCTCATAAGTATTGATGACTTCGGTACTCTGATTCGTGTTTGGCATCCAATTTGAGGAGAAACTTTGTGTTATTTCGTCAGATTCTACAATAGGAAATGAATGATCACAATAGGCAGTCGTTTCTTAAAGTATTTTTGCATAAAAATGAGTCACTATTTGAAACATTTGTTCGAAGATAATCTGCATTAAAAAAATTCGATATAAGAACGTCAAATAACATTCAATAAAGATGCCTTCTTATAAGAGTATATCAAGGTTTAAGGTTCTCTGATACTAGTGATAAATAATATTCAGCAATAAATACAGTTGGCCAAGAAAAGTTCGATCCATCAATGGTCTATGTTGTTCAGTTCTTAATTGGACTTTTAACCAATATATAAGAAGTTATCTTTGCATTCTATGGTGAGAAAAATATACGAATTTGACAACGCGAAACAAGTTCGTGGATACATGGGAACAACATTTCTATTTTTTTCGTCAAGAATCAGCACTCTGTATTTTTCCTCTTTGGAAATGACTTGATGACTATTCAGTAATTAAAAGCTAGCAACATGAGAAATTTCATTCATCTTTGCTATAGAAACTCGGATATCCGGATGACTCCAATGTTAATTTCATGTATCACTGGGTTACCAATGCTCTTTAAGTTGTCGTATGAAATACTAAATCTGAATGTACACACAATAAAAACAAAAGATAGAATAAATAATACAGCAAAAGCGGCAGATTTCCGTACATGAGTTGTACTACGTAATTCACAATCGAAATTGTTCAACTGATAGTGTCAGATTGGAATAACTGTCTCAAATATTGCTGAGGCAAGAGACTGATGAAAATTCACATAATCCACGCCCAAAAAAGCATCTCTGCAGTGTTGAAATATTGGAGTATTACAAGAAACTATGGTGAAAATCGCCTAGTTCTAGACACTTCCTCTAAAAGCTATATTTCGATCACTATCTATATTTTTCATTGCTTAAATCAACTTTTGCTCAAATATATATATACATTTCCTTATTGACACAAAATAATTTTGAAAATATTTATCAAAATGCTGTGATAAGCATCTTGTGAGAATTTCAAATGGGAACTTTTTGACGGA